GGATCAGGCACTATATGCAAAAGCATCTGAAATTGTATGGAAGCATAAGGAAAGATTTAAAAGAATCATTTTGAGGCTGGGTGCTTTTCACACTGCATGTACATACCTCTCTGTACTTGGAAAACGTTTCCAAGATGCTGGTCTCAAGGACATTTGTGTTGAAGCTGGACTACTAGCAGAGGGATCTACATCTAGAGTTTTTCATGGGAAACACTACAACCGCGGAGTTAGAGTCCACAAGATCATGTATGAAGCACTCATGAGACTGCAATGGAAAGGCTTTTTGCAAAGGGTCGAGGAAACAAATTGTGGCCTGCTTTTTACAATTCAGTCTGCATTGGCAGATATTGAAGACTTTCATGTTAATGTTAACAAAGAAAGTTTGGAATCACTCTTTCAGAGTTAATCTTTCACAGACACTGTGACAGCTTTTAAAGCCTACCAAGAATTTCTCAGGAATGAAAATGGGGATTTATCAGCTTTCTGGACTTCATACACAGATATGATTGAAGTGCTCTTGGGTCTTATCGGAGCATCACGGGAGGGCAACTGCATCTATCCAGCATCAGGAACATTGCACCTTGGTGTTTTGCATATGACAAGCAGAATTATGCAAGATATCTATCAGACTATCATGGTCAGATGTCAGCTCTGTCAACTACTCACAAGCACATTCATGAATACTTAGAGAATGGTGGATTTTCTGTACAGCTTGGAACTGAAAACCCTTTTGGGAGAGTACCAGTAGACCAGGTTCTGGAGGAAACAGCAAACAGAGATACACAGACAGCAGGCGGAACAAAGGGCTTCAGTCTTAAACCTGGTGCTGTTGCTAAGTATTATCTGATGACAGAATATCGCAGTATCTTCTTAGGTCAGATCAGAAGTCTCACGAAGTTGACCAGATCAAGTTTCAGTCATCCAGATTTACAACAATCAAGGAGAGCAAGAGATGAGGCAGATGTTCTTGCTGTTGAAGACATGTTGGAAAACAACTGGGTAAACCCTTTCTTGAATTCAGAACTCATCTCCTTGTCAACGGCTGCTGCTGCCACTCCAGCCATGGTATCTGACCTTCTCAAGGCACAGACCATTGGGGAAGAGAGGATGATGGACTTCTGTACAAATCGTTTACAGCCTTTGTCACCACAGGACTTTCATTCTCGGCTACAAAGGAACAACTTGAAAACTTTCACCGAATTGAGCCAGAAGAAGAAGAAACTCCAAACAAGTCAAGTGGAGGTTGTGCTCAGAGCTGACAGGAACCTCTTTGCTCATATGGTTATTATAGCTCAAAGCAGAAAACTTGACATGAAGTCTGTTTTCAGGCATCCTCTTGGACCGCTTCCTTTATCACTCGCATATCCAGATGGTTCCATAAGAAAGACCAACAAGTTAAGCCTAGCTCTAGAACTGGAAAAGAACATCCTTCCTGAAGAGAAGCTCCCTTACCCATCCTGTACTCTGATTGATGGTATGGCACTTGTCCAGAAGATCAAAGGTGACAACAAAACCTTCCAGTTGGTTGCAGAAGAAATGTTTGTCCAGGTCCTTCATGAAGGTTACAGCAGTCAGAGGATTGATGTCGTCTTTGATGTATACAGGAACGTGTCAATCAAAAATGCAGAGAGAGGTGAGCGCTCTGGAACTCAAGGAACACAATACAAGAACATCGCAGCAGGCCACACCATAAGACAATGGCGAAAATTCCTTTCCAACTCTTCCAACAAAACGAATCTTGTTCTGTTTCTTGTCAAGGAATGGGGAGGTGAGAAGTATGGAAATCGGATTGGAAACAAGGACCTCATTGTCACCTGTGAAGAAGAATGTATCAAGCTGGGCCCAAACAGTGTAGAGATGATAGAGGAACTAACATCCACTCAGAGGAAGCAGACACTCGGCTGTTACTCCACGCCAGACATGCTTCAAGCAACGGCTACGGGAACATAATCATTTGTGCCGAGGATACAGATGTATTTCTACTCTGTGTTGCCTTCCAATCATCTCTTGAAGCAGATCTCTACATGAAGCTAGGAACAAAGAACAGAACAAGACTCATCAAGGTTTCAAGTGTAGCCCAGGTCCTTGGCCAGACCGTCTCTGAAGCACTACCTGCATGTCATGCATACACAGGATGCGACACTATCAGCTCATTTGCAGGAAAGGGAAAACCGTCTGCTCTAAGACTCCTCAAGGGGAATAAGAAGTACCAAGACTGCTTCAAACAACTTGGAAAGGATCCTGAGCTTACAGAAGATCAATTTCAAGTCCTGGAAGACTTCACGTGTTCACTGTATGGATCATCTCTCAAGAGTGTCAACGATCTTCGCCACACGTTGTTCCTCCTGAGGAAGGGCGAACTTGAATCCCACCAGCTTCCTCCTTGCAGAGACTGTTTATTCAGGCACTCACAGAGAGCCTGCTACCAAGCTCATGTGTGGCAGTTGGCCATGGAATGCAAGCCTGGAATTCCATCACCTGTCGGCAAAGGATGGATCCTTGAAGAGAGAGACGGTGAAAGTGTGCTAACTGTTGAGTAGATGAGTGGTCTACCGGCACCTGAAGCTGTCCTACAGCTTTTAGCATGCAAATGCTCCAGAACATGCAAACTCCCAAACTGCACTTGCATGGCAAATGGACTCAAATGCACAAGCATGTGCAAGTTGCAAACCTGTGCAAACATAGAGACTGGTTCCGATGAAGAAGATGGCAGCTGTGATAACACTGATGAGGATGACATATATGATGAATGAACATTATGTATGTAAATGTCATCAAATGCATCAAAATAATCTGGTAAATAGTGTAAACACAACATGTATTTGATATTTCATTAACAAACCTAATTGTACAGTTGATGAGAAAGGGGATTTAACTGTTTGGTGCAAGTTAGTTCACTATGATCAGAAAAATGAAATTTTAAGACACAAACATTCATAAAAATGTTGGAAAAAAAGGTCTCCCCTTGCCCCCAAGTGGTACCAATCACCCTCATTTTTCACTCTGGGATCAAGGACTACAGGACATTTTTCTACAGGATGAGCCACTGATTGATGTTCCACAGACAGTTTGACCCTACTCAATCTCTAAATACCAACAATTTTGTATTTACTTGTATCACTTGATCAACAAACAAAATTAAAAGAAGCGAATAGAGAATTAGAGAATATTAATAAAAAAGAAACAGAAGGGATACTACTACGATCTAAAGCTAAATGGAAAGAAGAAGGAGAAAAACCAACAAAATATTTTCTGTCTCTAGAAAATCGAAACTTTTTAAACAAAGCAATATATAAACTTGAAAACAATCAAAAGGAAACCCTAACCAAAAAAGAAGATCTTATAACTGAAACTAAATCGTTTTACCATAACCTATACACGAAAAAACCATGTGAAAAAGTGAACCTAACAGAATTGCTTAAAAACATAGACATCCCAAAGCTATCAAAAAATCAACAAGAAAGTCTAGAAGGACAATTAAGATATGAAGAAGTATTAAACAGTCTTTAAAAAATGAAAAATGAAAGAAGTCCTGGCTCATCGGGTTTCACTGTTGAATTCTTCAAAAAAAAATTGTCCAATATTCACGAGTATCTTATAAGATAATTAAATTTAGCTTACGAGAAAGGAGAATTGTCTTTGACTCAAAAGCAAGGCATTATAACCTGTTTTCCCAACAAAAAAATCCAAACATTTGCTTCAGAATTGGAGACCCATTTCATTGCTGAATGTAGCGTATAAAATCAGATCATCAACCATTGCAAACAGAATAAAAACAGTCCTACCCTCTATAATAAATGAGAATCAAAAAGGGTTTATGTCAAAAAGATATATTGATGAGTGTACTCGCCTAATATATGACATCATTGACTATACTGAATATATGAATATACCAGGAATTCTACTTCTTATTGACTTTGAAAAGGCATTCAATTTTGTTGACTGGCATTTCATTCCAAAAGTTCTTCTATTCTTTAAATTTGGACCATCGATTACTAGATGGATAAATACCTTCTTTAATAACATTCAACCATGTGTTGTTGTAAATGGTTTCCTTTCAAATTATTTCAATATCTCGAGAGGATGCAGACAAGGAGATCCCATCTCCCCTTATATTTTTATACTGTGCGCAGAAATTTTGGCAACAATGTTTAGAAATAATAATAAAATAAAAGGAATACAAATTGGAGATACAGAATATCTAATTTCCCAATACGCTGATGATACTTCGCTGATACAAGATGGCACTGAAAAATGTTTACAGGCGACATTAGAAATTCTTAGTAAATATGCCTCATTTTCAGGCTTAAAAATACATGTAAACAAAACACAGGTATTATGGATATGCTCAGAAAAAAAACTCTGAAAGAAAATTTTGCAGAAACTGGAATTTAGACTGGAAGAGTGACTCGTTTAAACTATTAGGAATTGTATTTACTCACAACATCGCAGAAATGGTTGAAGGCAACTATAAAGATAAACTTAAGACTCTCAAAATATCAATGAATCAATGGCTAGCAAGAGATCTAACTCCCTTAGGTAGAAATACCATATTGAAAAGTTTACTTTTACCGCAACTTAATCATTTATTTGTAAGTCTACCGAACCCAAACGATCAAATGATTATGGAAACTGAGCAGCTCTGCTTTAAATTTATATGGGAAAACAAACCAGACAAAGTCAGTCGAGAAACTATCACAAAGAACTATGAATACGGAGGAATACGAGCTCCAGAGATAAAAAATCTTATTCAATCACAAAAAATATCATGGATTAAAAGACACATCAACTCAGATTCAAAAGTAAGGAAATTGCTACAAACGAAGTCACATTTGGACATCGGCAGCTTTATACAAACATGCGAAACACACATACTTGAATCAGTAATAACACAAGAAACAAATCATTTTTGGAAAGACACTTTGAAATCATGGGGTAAATTCGTAACCAGAAAAGCAGAAAAAGGAAAAAATGCATGTGATATTTTATCCCAACCCTTATGGTTAAATGACAATATTAAAATAGATGGAAAACCAATTAATTATAAACATTATTCAAGCAAAGGGATTACTTATATAAACGACAAGGTAACTTTTTAACGGTGGAACAATTAAGAAAATCGTTTGGGTGCAAAACTAACTTCCTAGAGCGTCAAGGAATAGTGGAATCAATTAAATACTACTGCAAATCCATAAACATCCATATTGAAGAAAACATCCAAGCCCTGATCTTGCCATATCTTTTACCAAATATAGTAGGAAACCCAAAAGGATGTAGAGATATTTATGACATACTCATAAATGGTAAATTTAGAAAACCTTTAACATATCGAAACAAGTGGCAAAAAGAACTTATCGAGTCTATTGACGATAATATATGGGAAACGATAGAAAAAAACAACCTTTAAATCGTGTAATAATAGTGTAAAACACTCGTGGTTTCAATGCAGCATACTGCATAGGTTTCTGCCAACAAATGATTTGCTAACAAAAATGAAATATAAAGATTCCAACAGATGCACATTTTGCAAATCCGAGAAAGAATCAATTCTACATCTATTTTGTGACTAAAGTCATAAAAGCTATTTGGAAGAAAATAGAAGAATGGATATTCGAAAAAACAGGGTCAAATATTATCTTTTCAAAGAAAAATATTATTCTAGGATATTGTGAAAAGAGAAACCATGCTCTGAATTTGATAATAACAGCAGTGAAATATAATATATACAAAATGAAACAAAGAGATTAAACACCAAATTTGAACTACATTATAGAAGACGTAAAGACAACATATTATGCTGAACGTTTTAATGCCTATTCAAATTGCAAATATGACGGCTTCACAAAATTTTGGTCACTATGTCACAACCTGTTCTGTTAACCTAGCGCTATATATAATGTACTGCTATTACATTTTCAAGTACCTATTCATTTTGCCTGTAAAGACTTTGTATATATTTGCGAATCGTGATTATACCAACCCGTTATGTTATGAACTGTATGACCTGGATTTATGGACAATCAAAAATATAAAAATATTAAAAAAACCCAAACAAAATGGTAAAATTTGTCAGATAGGGAATCGAGTCTACACATAATCAACTGACAATGCTTCATGTGCTCAGCTGCCGACAACCATGGTATATGCCTGAATGTAGCTCCTGCAGAATGGGCAGCTCCGGTCCAAGTCAGTGATGATCTTATTCACACAGTCACTACACAAATTTGCGTGTGCGCAGGGAGATCTCTTTATTGCCCTCATTTTCGAAACAAACAGCATTGTTGATGTCTGGGCCCCTTCCATACTGGGTGTCAGACATGTTTGCTCTCTTCCCATATTGACTTCCACCATCCGTGTCATCAGGGGGGCGACGGCCGGTCTGGTTGTTACCTGTAGAGAAGAAAAATATTATGGCCAGTAGACCACTTGACTACTCCATTTCTTCGAGGACATGGAGCCTGTAACCCATTGAGCAACTCACGGGGATGGGGCAACCCCTCTAACCACAACTATCCCTCTAACCACAACAATCCCTCTAACCACAACAATCTTTCTTACCATACCAATCCCTGTTACCATGACAGAACAATTACTCTGGGGTTGTCCAAAGAAGTACAGGTCCTTGGGGTCCAAGGTGAAATGTTGTGATGGTAGTGTTGTTTAAAGTGATTTAAACTATGGATAGTCAGACATTGTGTCACTGTTTCAACTCTCATTGTTACAACCTCTCTCACCATTAAGGTCACTCTAACCATTACAATCACTTCCCATGGTTACAATCACTTTTCATCACAATCACTCTCAGTGTCACAATCGCTCACATTGTCAGTCACTGACAGTGTCACAATAACTCTCCATCACAATCCCTGACAGGGCCGCAATCACTGACATTGTCACAATCACTCTTCATCACAATCACTCTCTATCATAATCACTCTCAGTGTCACAATCACTGACATAGTCACAATCACTCTCCATCACAATCACTCTCTATCATAATCACTCTCTGTATCATAATCACTCACAGTGTCACAATAACTCTCCATCACAATTACTCACAGTGTCACCATCATTCTCCATCACAATCACTCTCAGTGTAACAATCAATCACAGTGTCACAATCACTCTCAGTGTCACAATAACTCTCAGTGTCACAATAACTCTCAGTGTAACAATCAATCACAGTGTCACAATCACTCTCAGTGTCACAATCACTCTCAGTGTCACAATAACTCAGTGTCACAATCACTCTCCATCACAATCACTCTCTATCATAATCACTCTCAGTGTCACAATCACTCTCCACCACAATCACTGACTGTGTCACAATAACTCTCCATCACAATCACTCACAGTGTCACAATTATTCTCCATCACAATCACTCTCAGTGTAACAATCAATCACAGTGTCACAATCACTCTCAGTGTCACAATAACTCTCCAACACATTCATGCTCCATCACAATCACTCTCAGTGTCGACGTCACAGTCACCAATAATGTTACATCCCTGGTACAATATTACAATCACCTTGACAAGCTCTCACCTGAGTTAGGCCATTGACAGTGCCCCCTTGTCTCAGGAAACCCATCTCCGGTCGCTCTACTCTTATGCAAATTGTAGTAAATGATGCAGATGGCAACTACCGCGGTCACCATCATCAGGGGAATTGCTGTTGGCAGCATCCTCAACCGTACACCAAGTGCTCTTTATTTTATCGCAACACAGTAAAATGTCCCACCTGCGAAACCTGCGAACATAACACACATCATAAACACTGACATCTGACTATTATATGGACATTTAACATTGGAAAGTAGAGCACAACTATAGTATGACCATAAAGTAGTGACATTATCTAAAACAATTTAAACCCTACCAAACTACCCCATACTTCTACCCCCAACATATTTTCCGGTCAATTTCCCAAATTCAAACTTCACATAAAAATTCAATATGCAACCACCCCTTCAGGTTGGTTTCAGTGATGTTCACCCTTCTTTCGATCTAACACTAAACATGGTAAATGGCCTGGCGGACCTGTGTGTGAAACACATGTTGGAAAGTGCAAGTAAAATCTCGAAATCATCATCAACTAATATGTAATGGTCTCATCCTTAATGGTGCTAAGGTTTGAATTGGTGCTCCGGAGTGCGATCCCAACATACACCAAGACTGTGCGAGTCAGCAGATAGTGCCTCTTGAAAATATCTCTTTTTTGAGTACAGACTTGCTCTCAACTTCCGAAGAACATGCTTCAGCTGATTAGCGCAAATCTACAAGATTAACCAAAAGCACTATCACAAATAGTCATGTTTACTATGTGATCGGTGTTGTACTTTGACCTCCAAACTTAAGCAATCATTTAACCCAGAATCCAAACACAGGAGGATTCAGTGTGAAAGCAACAAATAAAGACACACATTACAGGGAACAAGTGTATGATAAACTTATGACCGTTTACATATCAATACATATTACTGCAAAGTAATTACAATGACAGGATTACAATAGGGTGGCAATATTTGATGGAAGTAAAATTACACAGGCAGTTTGTCATGCATCCGCCGAGCAGGTAGGATAGGGGAAGACCGCAAAAAGACAGCGTGAAGAGTGCGGACAGACCAGCAGGAGGCATGCTATGGACACAGAGGGACGAACACTGACCAGCCTATCCAGGCGTTCTACTGGTCAAGTGTCAGTCTGACTTCTCTGACTTCCCTCCATAGTGCCTGTCGGACTCTGTGTGAACTGTTCACACTGCCTCACATAGTTCAGTCCCTTCTGGATTCCGCGACAAATTTTTAAGAACTCCACGGCAAACATAAGTAAATTCTGAATCCCATTTTTCAAAATTACGCAAAAAAATCTGCAGTTAAAAACTTGAAAAAACATACAAACTAATGCAATTTAAAAGTTCAAAAAGATCGATTTTATGAACATAATTGCAGTAACAAACTCAAATAATATTATTGTAAGGTGCTGAAGAAAAATGTCCTTTTCTGACTAAAATTTAAATTTTATACTTATCCTGACTCATGCTACAAGCTTGTCCTTGCGAATGATAGTGGAACACTTGAAATCCCTTTAAGTTCCCTTCTACAAAGCGGACGTAAAATCACTACTCACCAAGGAGTTGCCTCCCTTGCCCCTTTGGCGCCCTTTTGGTCACAAGACCGACCATGCCTTGTCACTCTCTCCGTTTGAATGCCGGACACCCGGATTTACAGGGAAATCCAGAGTGCCATAAGAGGGGAGGTTGGGAGGGCTGACCTCATGAGTCAGGATAAGTATAAAATATCAATTTTAGTAAGAAAAGTACATATTTTTCCATATCCTGACTCATGCTAAATGCTTGCAGAATCCGTCTGAATCGGTGGTGGGTCAGGCCACTTCTGGATTCTCTGGCTGTAGATTTACGTCCTGTATTACCCCCATGGGAACTTATGACGGCACTGCTGATGATTCTGTTCTTTCAACTTCCTCTGATGAGTCTGGGGGCAACCACAACTTGTCAGATTTCTTCCGAAACTTCTGACATTTTGTGTGGATTATTAGATATACTAATGTTCCATTAGTTATCTATTGCAACTCCATCTCTTGATGCGCGCATCAAGTGGAGATGCGACCCTTGTTCATGTACGTGTATGTCCTATACAAGTACAGCGTCTATCACTCATGCTAGCCTGTCCTAGGCGTGTGCATGGACTTTAACCATTAAAATTTGCTCTCCAGAGCGCTGTTTTTCATAAGTCACGTGATAAAAAGGGTGATATTTTTCTCAGCGCCTTTGTTGAACCGTTAGTTGTTGTGTTACAACAAGTGGCCCAAACTGGTGAATGTCTGAGACTTCTTCGGTGGCAATGTCTCTGAGGTAGTGGTTGGCAAACACTGTGTGTGATTTCCAAAAGCAGCCCTCCATTATTGTTGTAATCGAGTAGTTTCAAAAGAGCAAGTGTATACGCCAAGGCTCTGACTTCGTGGGCATTGCAGGCTCGTGGAGGCTCAAGTCCCGCTGCTTTGTAGGCCCTTAGTATAACGGCTCTCATCCATATCGATATCGTTGTCCGTGACACTTCCGTGGGCGTCTCAGTAGATAAGGGGATGAATAGGCGTTTGAATTTTCTTCTCCTTGTTTTTGTCCTTTGTAGGTAGACTTTTAAGGCTCTGGCAGGGCATAAGGATAGATCCTGTTTATCCTTTGGTCCAAGGACTGTAGAGAGTGCTTGGATGTGGAACTGTCTGTCAGGCTGGCCGGGCAGTTGTTTCTTGGCAATAAAATCCCATCTCAGTCCTAGATGTACGATGTCTTGATTCAAATCGTGTTCGTTCGAAGTACAGAACATGTATTTCTGACATCCGTGCTGCTGTTGCTAGGGCGATCAGGAACAGCGTTTTCTGAGTCAGTAGTTCAAAGGATGTCCATTTTAGAGGCTCGTAGGCATCACTGGTGAGATGTTGTAGAACTATGTTGAGATCCCAGGCAGGAGCCTTGAAATACTTTTGTTGGTCTTCCAACTTGAACGAGCGTAGTAGTGCCAGTATCTCTGGTACTTTGGTCAGCTTGACACCCGTCTTCATGGTGATTACTGTGCTGAGCGCAGCCAGGTACATTGAGAGCGTTGAACCTTTTAAGTGTCTCGTCTGTTGCGGTATTCCGTCACTAGAGGATGGGTTGCGTTTACCTCTGTAAAACCTTTCCTCGTTGCATACTGTTCAAATCTCTGTCACTTGTCGTCGTACAAGTTGCGAGTTGATCTGTGTAGAGCTAGTGTCACTGCTTTCGCTACTCTGGTGGAGTACCCTCTAGTCTTCAGGCAAGCTTTGATACGCTCCACCCGTGTAGCTGGAACAATGCCTGATTCCCATGAGCTTGCTTGGTGTGTGGATGGACAAGCAAGTTCGACCACTCTGGTAGTTTCAGGGTTGGACTTTCCAAGTTCTTGTATGAGGACGGGAAACCATACCCTCGCTGGCCAATACTGCACGACCAAACTCAGTTGCAGCGTTGTCGTCTGCTTGATTTCCTGTGTTACTTGTGGTAGTAGTGCTGGAGGTGGAAACGCATAAGCGTTTAGTCCTTCCCATGAGATGCTTAAAGCGTCTGTTGCCAATGCCTGAGGATCCGGAATCGGAGAGACGAATGTTGGTAGTTGCTTGTTGAACTTTGTTGCAAACAGGTCTATCACCGAAACTAGGAACCCTTGCCGTGTCCGTCATGGAAGCGGGAGATGATCGATTCTGGAATCATGGCTTGAAGCTTGTCTCATCAATCTTCGGGTAATTTCTTTGAGAGGCATTTTAGAAGTTGTGAAGATGATGTACATTGGATATTTGATAAGTGATTACAGCAGAGGAGGTTGATGTCCATCTGGCTTCCATGCTCCCCTCCTTTGTGCTTGTAATCACAACTATTGTACGTCAACTCATCAATTGTATAAACTCAACTCTAATCACAATCAATCACTCTGTACATCAACCTCCTCTGCTGTAATCACTTATCAAATATCCAATGTACATCAACCTTGTTAATTGTATATACTCACTATACAGCTATGTATATATTCTCCTTGCTTCAGTTGTTGTATCACTTGCTTGATAACGGTCTTAGTTCCTACACCAAAACGTTGCACTCATTGCAATAAAGAAGTTGACTATCCTTAGAAATCAGTTTTTCTTAATCTTCCGGTAATATGTAATAAAGATGTTGTCACCAGAATCCGAACAATGTGCAGCGATGATGCATAATACGTTGTCTCTAGATCAGCAAAAATCTATGATGTACTGGGACTGCCATTGATGTCAAGTCTACTTATAGTCGACCGGCTGCCGCGAGCAGAAACCGTCTCACGCTTGTCGCTGCAAGTCCACAGATAACCAATATTAAATCTGCTGACAGGAGAAGTCCTCTATGACCCGTGAAGATAGTCGAACCACGCTGTACCCTGCTAACTGGAGAGTAAATGGAGCCTTTCCCACGTTGAAAGAGTTGTTTACAACTGTAGACGACTTCCTGGCACGTGACTGTGACATCACCGGTGTTGCAGGTAAATGATCCCCATACAATCTTGTGCAGTCGTTGATTTCTTCGTCAACACGGCCTTGTCTGTAACCTCTCTGTTCGGCTTGTGCCGGAGTTGCACGAGTGAACACGTGTTTTGATGGCTGAGCCGCGTAGTGCCGATGTAAGCAGCCTGTTCCCTGTCTGTTGTGACTGTATTCTTCAACTTTATAATCTTTACTGCCGTCGTCATCTTATACAGATTCATCTTCACTGTTTCATCGGATGTTATCTGACATCGTTACTTCAGGTGTGCGTCTCTTCCTTAAACCACGCGTTGATCAAACATAGCCAACATCTAGTTGTAGTGTCCAGTTGTGTTATTTTCTTATCTTCCATCTTGAAGATCTATTACGGGATTCACCGATGATCTTGTAATCTCAAACCCTGATGTATCATGAAGGGCTCCGTATGATGAAGGGGGAAATCTGCCATCGTTGAACAGCGGGACAAACTGACTCTGATTATAATCCTCCCCGTGAGTGCCTGTGCGCAGGTTGTTGAAGGTCCAAGTTGGAAGATCCGTATCTGCGCAGTCTGTAGAATCCTGGAGAACGACTGGATCTACTTCGGTGCTAAAATCCTTCCTTCTGAGACGCTGAAACAGCGTGGAGGCTCCGTCATGGACTGCTAACGCTAAGCTGGCGTTCGTTGAATCCTCCAGGGTTCTAACTGCTGATACTTTTGAC